TAGTATACATTTGCAGTACAGAATACGTGCACTTCTTGTGGGGAGTTGGCCATGAACATAACACATCTTAATTCTTTTTTTTCACTCCCCATCTCCCAAACCCTTTCTGATTTGAGAAAGATCTGTCTCCCTACTTCTTATTATCTTTTATTTTGCTCTTTATTTATAATTTGGGTTTCTCATATAAGCAAAATCATGCAAGATTTAAGCTTGTGTGTCTGATTTATTTCACTGACTATTATGGTCTCAAGGTACATTCATTTTCTTATGAATGACTTAAATTTATCTTTCTTTATGACAATGTAGTACTCCAGTGTGTAAATACCACATTTCCTTTAGCCATTTGTTTATCTAGTTTTCTCACTATTGAGACAAAATACCTGGCACTCAAAGTTAAAGGAGGAAAGGTTTATTTAGCTCACAGTTTGTAGAGGTTTCAGTGCATAGTTGGTTAGCTCCAAGGCAGGGTGGCATGGCAGAGGGGACCACAGACCAGAAACAGTTCATAGTGGGCAAAAGGCACCACAGCAGCGAAGTGGTGAAGAAACAGCAAGCAACAAGCAACCAACCACAGCAGCTCTTTCTATCCCTTTTAGTCTATCCAGGATAGCTGCCCTTAGGGTAGGTCATACTTACCCTCAGGGAGGGCCTTCCCTCTGCCTGCTCCCAGAACTGTGCCAAACCAATGGGTGGACTAATTTAGTAATCAGGCACCCTCAATCCCAGCATCACACACTCTAGATCTAGCCACCCCTGAAAGGCCCCACCTATCACCAAATGTGGCTTTGGCAGGGGGGTCATCTAGACACAAGCCATAATACCGGTCATCTGTTGAAGGAAAGATAGACTGCTTCCAAGATTTAGCTCTTCTAAACGTGGGTACACATGTCTCACTGTAGTATGAGGTCTTTAACTCTTTCAGGAAGATACCTAGAAGAATAGCTTGGTAAAAAAGAATGTCTAGTTTTAGTTTTCTGTGGAATCTCCATGTGAATTTCCCTAATGGTTTTGCTAGTTCACATTCCCACTGACAAGGCAGAAGATTCCTTTCTCTAGAAAATGAGGCAATGGAGTATCTGTCCATTAGGCAATCTTCTATCACAACTATTTCTTTTTCCCAATAGTTGGAGGCTCCATTCTCTGGGAAACCTGGAGTATGGATGTTGTGTGGTGTGCAGTGAGTGCTTAGTCTGCCCTACAAAGATTGGTCTCCTGACCTGCATGGCAGTGGGTGAGAGAGCAATTTCCTCAGAAATGGAAATGCACAGGTCACTTGCGGCCCAGCATCAGCACCAGCACCAAGAGTCTACACCACAGAAGGAAGGGCATGCTCTTAGAGCAGGCCTTTCCCAGGCTCCACACTGCACACAGAATGCTGTGTTCTGACAAATTGCCATGGTGATCACAGTGTTCTTCATTTGATAGGCTATTATCTAGCAGTCAAGGTAATTGGGGAGATTTTTGCTTCTTTATTAGATGGTTCCAAGAATGGGAACATCGGGGAAGGGGGAAGGGGCCTGTTCTGGAGGAAGGCCAGGCTCTGTGCCAAGAGTCTTAGGAAGGAGGGAAGGATGGCGACTTGAGGAAGGAGGCAGGCAGATGGAAAGAAGGGAGGAAGAAGGAAGTGGAGACAGGGAAGAAGAGAAGGATGGTGAAGGGCAATGCACAATGGGCACAGCATGGAGAATGTCAAAATTTTCTCAGGGCCGGTGATAGCAGGAAAAGATAGTTGGTGACAGGGAAGGGCAGAGGCTCAGCTGACAGACATCTGAATCCCAGGCTGAGCAGCATCTCAGGGAGAAGGTGGGCTGGAGCCCAGGTCAGGGCTTATGGTTGCAAGGTCCTACACTGAACATCACTCCTCAGCAAATGGAAGTCTCAGGGTAGTTTCCCCTGAAGGACTCTAGAAGCCCCAGTACTCTGGACTCTTGCAACCTGAACTTCTACTGGGAGACAACATGTGGATAGCATTCCAACTGTGGCCTCTGTCACCAAGTAGGTACTGGCCATCTGGTTGGGGCATTTCCTTAGACTTCTTGGTAGGAACTCAAGCCAAACATGCTATTTTCAAAGCACACTTGATTTTTTCTAGTATTACCAGGAGAAATAAGGCTCTGGCCATCAGGATGAACCTAGTAAGACAAGCACTAACATAAATCTTGTCTATATTGAAGTGTTTATCTGAGCTAGTACCTGTAATCCCTGCACTCTGGGAGACTGAGGCAGGAGAATTGCAAACTTTCGACTAGGGTGGACAACTTAGTGACTCAGTGAAAGTCTGGATCGACATAAAAGAAGAGCTGGGGATATAGTTCAGTGGGAAGCACCTGGGTTTAATCCTTGGTACCCATCCCCCAAGGAGGTCCACATGTATTCTCTATATGAAAATTCTTGGCTGTGTTTGCCACCAGCAAGATAGAAAGGGGGCAATTAAACAGTGCTGAGCTGTTGCTGAAGGTTTGTTTATTAAGCCCTTTTTTCTTTGCCCTCATTTAGAAATCTGGGTCTACCTGAGTGCTCTGCACATTGAAATCCACTTCCAGATCTCGGGTGTGGCTCCCCATCAGCCTGGAACCAGCAAGCCTCTGAGTGCTCAGTTAGACCTGACCTGCTGCAAACTTGGTTTGGTTCTGGTCTGCAGACCCATGACAAGGTTTGATGTTCCGACCACATTCCCACCCTGCACACTGTAGCTAGCCAGCCCCATCTGAGGGAGTGGACATAGAGGGAATGGCAGGTGAAAGGTTGTCTGACAGACACACATGTGCCTCAGAGGTGGCACTGGGGTGACCCGGTATCTGGGAGAATGGAAGTACCATCAACAGAAATTAAGAAATAAGGGATTGGTGGTGGGGGATCAGAAGAGGCAGGTGTGGATATTGAGCAGGAGGTATTGACAAGGTGTGCCCAAGAACACAAGGCCCAGGAGGTTGGAAGGGTGGCCTGGACCTTCAGGAAGGTTTAGACACTGAGGCATCTATGTCTACCTCTACACATTGAGATATGGCTACCATGGCCCACAGGGATAGGCACTACCATATCTTGTGTAAAGGTGGCATGTGCAGACAGGCGACCCTGCTAGCCCCACCCTCAGCAGAACACAAATACATAGGGAGAGCCTAGCACCCCTTCAGGATTGCACAAACTCACAGTCCCAGTTGCTTTATACTAGCTGGCACTGTGGTGTGTCATGCAGCAAGTTAATTGAGACACACTGGGCCCTGCATTACTCCCATGGGTGCTATGCGCCCTTTCTTCCTCATACTAAGTATTTGATAAAATTCTTTTGATTGCAAACATCAGAAACCTACAGATCCAGCTTGAACAAAATGGGGATTTGGAGAGAAAGTTTCTGAAATCTGCCAAGGGAGAGAAGGAAGGTTACTAGGGAAAAGGGAAGTCAGTCTGTGTGGAGTCAGCAGCAGATGGTGGAGTCATTCCTGCAAAGTCCAGAGCGAAAGCCTCGTGGCCTGGCCACTTCGGGGTCTCAGGGGAGACAGTGCGACAGTCCCCTGGGCCGCTGTGCACCTCGGTGTTTCAGCTGAGATGGGGGCTGGCTTGGAGACATGGAAAAGGCAATAGAGCCAGGACCCTGGGAGGCAGCCACCCTGCACAGCTGGGTCTTGTCTAGATTTCCCACAAGATTTTTCCTTTCTAATCTTTCGGCAGCAACTGTATCAAAGCTCTTTTTATAACAGGAGAGGAATTATTGTGGGGCAGTTTTCAACCCTAACGACTGCCTTTAACATTGTAGACAAACACACTAAGCAGGAGAATGGGTCGCAGGTGCTTTGTAGGTATCCGCTCTGCTCTCTGAGCAGAGCACGGTTTTAATCTGTATTTTAACACATGTTCGTGTGTTGATACGAAAGGGCTTGTACTAAAGGAAAGAGCCACTGAAAGTCAGAGCAACAGGTGTTCTGAGCAGAGAGGAAGGGAGCGGGCCGGGGACTTCAGGAACGGGGCGGGGCGCTCCTGGGCTCAGGTCCTTTCCTTACTAGGCCAGTCCCGAGGGGGGACGGCGTCTACCACAGCCAAAGCTGCGGCGTGGGCTAGGCGCACAGGGAGGCGTCTGATCCCGGGTGGGGCGGCGCCTTCGCCTCCGGCTTCCGCAGGGTCCCAGATGCCGGCGACATCTTCCAGAGCAGCGAGGACAGCAGCCGCGCTTCACTTGGCGCGTCCCGCGCGGCACAAGCGGGACCCAGGATAGGCGAGGTGACGCCGTGGTCGCCCGGACAGGTTCTCGCCGACCTCCCCGCCCGGAGAGTCCCCCGCCTTCCCCCGGGCGCCGCCGCGCGTCACC